ATGTTAACTGAACAGTGTGAATTAAGTGAACTAAGTCTAAAGAAAAAAAAATACTTGTACCAAATACATATTTTCATTTTTAAAAATATTTTATTTTTATATATTTTTTTATTTTATTTTATTTATTTATAATTTTATTATTTTCTTTCAAATAAATATTATATTATATACAGTATTTTATTATTTTATTTATATTACAATTGTATTATTAAATTATTATAATTAATATTATTATAATTATTATAATTGTGTCTGTGTGTTAAGCTTACAATTATTAACTGCGATTATTTGCATATCATCAGCTGAATGTCTGAATAATGGTGACGTCTCTGGCTAAATCCATCATTTTGAAAGCAGTCTGTGAACGGCGCACCTGATGTGACTGGCAGCTGTCGAACAGGTCGACGTCTACAGAAGGAATGTCCATCGGCTCACTGAGGACAAAAGCCACACGCAGCTGCTCTCAAACAGGTTCTGTAGTGAATCTCTGAGCAATGCCACAACAACACAGAGCAAACTCAGAGCTCACACAGACACCGTGAGCAAACGATGGGTGATTACGAGACGAGTTAAAGTGCTGTAATTGAGGGATCAATTCAAGACGCCGCTCCCATGATGTCTGGAATACAGCAGAAAAGACTAAAGCGAGCCCTAATGCCACTCATTACCAAACAGGTCGAGTTAAAAGATGGTAACACTGTGTCATTAGAATTAGCACAGAAATACCTGAAAAGTCAAGTCAAGACAGACTGTTGCGACACAGATTCTGAGAAAAACCAGGAAAATAACAGAATCAATCATGCAAACTCCTCCGAATAAGAGACTAATTCAAACTCTGCTATAAAACAGCTCTAAAAAGAAAACAGTGCCATTATCCGGCTCAATTCAGTTCAATAACTAAGCTGAACGATTCAAGCTCAATTAAAGACAAAGGTGTCATCATTCAGACCAATTCAGTTCAAGTTGTGTTCTCATCCAACAGTAGTCAGACTGATAATATTACTGAATATTAAGAGTCTTTAAAACCCCAAAACTAACAAAAAAACAACCAAAATATCATCTAAATATGGTTATGATGGTGTATATACTGTAAAGGCACCATAACATTTGCTCATTTGCAAGTCAGTTTGGATAGAAGCATCTACTAATGAATTAATGTAAATATACTACAAAACAGTCACAGTATCTTTTGTAAGTGAACACAATTTTACCAGTGTTATCATAGTTTTTGTTAATATGTTGAACGTTCTACTTTCATGTCAATTTTAGTTAAAGTTTTAGAATTTTTTAAAAAAATTAATTTTATTTGAGTTTTAGTTTTAGGTATTTCAGTACATCAAGTTAAATTAAATAAAAAATGAGAAACGTTGACTTGGAATCAGCTGGAATAAAATAAGTGCACGTTTTTTAATATTTTACTTAACATTTATTTTATTTAAAGTAACAAAAGTGTTTTTATTTATGGTTGGCGTTGCGTTAATTATAATAATCCTGCTGTAAGCAAAGACATTTTCCTGTTTAATAGGACAGCGCTTACCTTTATACTCAGGTAATTATCGCAGCTCCGCGACTTCACTCTGGAGTGCATAGTGCTCCGCGTCCGCATTCAGGGCTCAAGATAGTAGAAAAACCATAAATATGTAAATAAATAAAATGAGGTGAGTTGATTAATCCAGTGTAAGTCCATGCAGAGAGCGGCTGGGCTCCTCTGCGCCCATGACTGAGTCGGCTCTAGTGGGAGGACTGAGAGAGAGACGGCCCTCCTCCTGTGGCCTCTCCCAGCTGGATAATGCATACTGATGCAATTTCCTTTAGCGCTGAGAAAACACACATCTGAGCTGCACACATGCACAACAACACCCCCGTCCACAAGTGCCCTGCAGGGGAACAAACCTTTACTACCCCCTCCTCTCTCGAGCGGCCGGAGCCTCCCCCTCTTTGTCTCGACAAAACAAATGCACTAGGGTTTCAGCTTATGCTGTCGCTTTTGGGGGAAAAAAGAAAAAAAGAAGACATCAGCATGCCATCGGCGGCTCGGGTCACTCGACTACAATAGTGCTGCGCTCAATCTCACTAATCCAAAAACTAGAGCTGACACACACTAGCAGACTAACAAACAAACAAACAAAAGTGCTTGGGATTCAAGGTAACGCTTTACTTGAAGCCTTTAAATATAATGCATTAAAAAGTATTTTAATGTACCTTTTAATGCATTTTATGAATACATTACAATACTATGCATTGCTATTAAAAAGTATTTTAATGCACCTTATAATGCATATTCACTGTTACACATTTAGAGAGCATAATGCATTAAAACACATGGCAAACAGTTAATATGTAACAAGGAATGTGCAAATATAATGCATTTTAAATTTGGTTACGATTATTTATGATAGGATATAATGCATTAAAGAGTGCATTATGAAAACCTTTATAATGCATTACACATAAAGGCTTCAGGTGTCACCGTAAAACGTTTATATCTCGATTGATTCTTCCAGACATCACTGAGATTAAATGGAGAGCAAACAGAAACTCTAAAATTGCAAATGCTTCTTATAAGAATCTAAAAGTCAAACATTTGAATGAAAATGCAGAACAGATCTATTTTAAATCTCAATTGATGCTCCTTTACATCATAAATACGGCAATATTTTTTTTCCCCCAATGACAGCAGTGAAATTAAATGGACAACAAACGGAGACTCTTAAGTCTTAAATATTTCACATAAGAATCAATGTAAAATTGTACAGAGGAAAGAACAAATTCTATTTTATTTTCTATTTTTAGATTTTTAAGTCTTATATTATTTTTATAATTTTAAATTTTTTTGTAAGATGTAAACTCACTACTGTGAGAAAAGAGTCAGAATTGTGAGTTTATATCTTACTATTCTTCGAAAAAATTCAGAATTGTGAAATAAAAAGGCTTTTTTTTTTTCTTTTCTTTTTTACCTTTAATTGGTAGTGGAGGAAACAAGCTTCCATAAAATTGAGAGCAGATGGAGAGTCTTAAATATTTCTCATAAGAATTAAAATATTAACATGAAAGAAAAATAAAAATAAATCCATTTTATATCTCGACTGATTCTCCTCGACAGCATTGGAGAGCAAACGGAGACTCTTACATCTTAAATGTTTCTTTCAGGAAAAAGAAATCTTCTCAGAAGTGTGCTCAAAATGTAAAGATCTCATTCTGAGCTCAAATACTTGTCATCAAATTCTCTCTTTCCAATTTCTTTTAATGTATCAGTAAGAAATGTGATTATCTGGCATAAAAGTTGATATAAGTGAAAGCTCCACTGAGTCTCCAGAGCTATAAAAGAGCTACAACTGAGCAAATCTGGGTTTTCATAGAAATATCTACAGTAGGTTATCTGCTAGTTACACACACCCTAACAAGCCAGCAGAACTCATAAAACTCAATTTCACTAACCTAATTACGGAGTTTGTTCACTTTTTTCAAGTTAGTAGAAATCAAGATTTTTTTCCCTTGCACACACACATTAATCACACTTAACTGAGCAACCACTGAGCAAGTTAACTCAATCAACTAGAGTTGATGAGTGTTTGCATGCTTGTCTGCGTGTGGCACATCTGCGCTGAGCGTGTGGAAAGCGTGAACATGTCCACACACTGCCATGGAATGTGTAACTCCAAACATGTCAGAGTCGTCCATTACCACCCTAAAGATCCGCCAGACCTCCACCAGATCACGTTAACCCCAGAAAACCACGTTAAACAGAGGAGCCAGTGTGCTGTGGCTAATCATGTTAGGCTATATTTAGAAGAGCTGGATTCTTGACACGCAGCACTGGTCACATGACATCATTGTGTCTCATTCACATGTGAGATTAACAAGGATTTAGCTGATATCATAACGTGTTTTGTAAATATTTGCCACGGTTCTTCATTGTGTTGTCATTTGAATCGAAACGAGCGGATGACCAGTTTAAGCAACAGTTCAGAAACATTCACATTCATGCATTTGGCAGATGCTTTCATCCAAAGCAACTTACACTGCATTCAATGCATGCATTTTATCAGTTCATGCATTGCTTGGGTATCGAACCCACAACCTTGCACCACTGTTTGAGCTACAGGACCTGCATGAAGACTCTTACAGATTTGAGGATGAGTAAATAATGCTGAACTATTCCTCTAAGCAATGGCCAGTTCAAAGAGTAGGTCATGGGTTCGATTCCCAGGGAATGCATGAACTGATCAAATGCAGACTGTGAACTAGGGCTGCACAATTAATCGAATTTCTAATCGCAATTACAATAATGGATGCAACAATTACGGCAATTAATCGTTCAAAGTCCAC